CCCAGACCCAGAGTTCAGGCCCCACGACCAGACCCCCCCCCCAAAAAAAAAAACCACCAGCCAGGTGCCAGTGGCTCACACCTATAATCCTAGCTACTCTGGAGGCTGAGATCTGAGGATCATGGTTCAAAGCCAGCCCGGGCAGGAAAGTCCGTGAGTCTCATCTCCAATAAACTACTAGAAAACCGGAACTGGTGCTGTGGCTCAAGCAGTAGAGCACTCGCCTTGAGCTGAAGAGCTGAAGGATAGCACCCAAGCCCAGAGTTCAAGCCCCACAACCGACTGAAAAATAAAAAAATAAATAGGCTGGGAAGGGAAAAATAAATAAATAAATACATAACCACCCAAAAATACAGGTTTTCCAGCCTAGGCTACATAGTGAGTCATTGTATCCAAAAGCAAAAACTTTCTACTAATTTTAGTCATCCTTAAAATAAGATTTACTTACAGATCAGTCCTTTTAGACTCCAGGCAATAGGATCAATATGATTCCAAGGTCATAGTCATGTTTAATAGTTTTAATATTTAAATATAGTATGCCCAATTGGTGAACTTTGTACCTTAGTTAAATATGTCTCTGAATATTAAGTAAAAAAGGTTCTTCTGATCATAAAAATGATAGAAAAGTAATTTTGAATTTTTCTTCATTAAACTCTTGCCATCCTAATGTTTTCCTCTCTCCCTTCCTGCTTCTCCCCTGTCCTTTACTATAGGTGTGGCAGAGAAGACACAGCTGCTAAAATTGAGTGTACCTGCTACCTTTATGCTTGTGTCTTTAGATGAAGGTCCAGGTCCTCCAATCAAGTATCAGTATGCTGAATTAGGCAAATTATACTCAGTAGTGTCACAGCTAATCCGTTGTTGCAATGTCTCATCAAGAATGCAATCTTCAATAAATGGTAAATAGAAAGCCCTATTCTTGCAATATTACTGTGTATGCATGTATGCATATATTTGTTTTATTGGATTAAATGTAATTTTGAAGATTTTTAACTATGAAGTAAGCCAGAGCTAGTCTGAAAGATCTATGCTTGAGAAAATTTTACAGTATTTTGGGTTCTATAGTTGTGTGTTCGAGTGTGTGCGTTCATGTGTGTGTTCGAGTATGTGTTCATGTTCCTAGCTGTCTAGGAGGCTGAGATCTGAGGATCATGGTTCAATACTAGCCAGGGCAAAAAAGTCTTTAAGACTATTACATACTCCAATGAACCACCAGAAAACCAGAAGTGGCGCTGTGGCTTGAAGTAGTGCAGTGCTGGCCTTGAGAACAAAAGCATAGGAACAGTGCCCAGGCCCTGAGTTCAAAAAAAAAAGAAAAGAAAAAGTCTCACAGATTTTCCTGCCCAGCTGGCTTTGAACTGTGATCCTCAGATCTTAACCTACTGAGTAGCTAGGATTAGAGGCATAAGCCACCAGCATGTCTAACCCTTTTTTTGTATGTTTGATGGGGATTTTCCTATCTGCTTGCTACTGGATTGACTTCTTGTTTATGAAGTAGTTGAGGAAATAACTTTGCATTTTATTGTCATAGTATACCTGATCGTTGTATATCTATCGTATTATTTTCTTCATTTGGCTTGAAAACTTGATTTTACAGTGCTACTTTTATAAAATAGACTATTTTCTGTGGTAAGTCTGTGTATTGTTATTGTGAAGAAGCTTATTAGTTGTTCATCAATGCCAAATTTGTATTCTAGGTAACCCTCCTCTTCCCAATCCTTTTGGTGACCCTAATCTATCACAACCTATAATGCCAATTCAGCAGAATGTGATAGACATTTTATTTGTGAGAACAAGTTACGTGAAGAAAATCATTGAAGACTGTAGTAACTCAGATGAAACCGTCAAATTGCTTCGATTTTGCTGCTGGGAGAATCCTCAGTTTTCATCTACTGTGCTCAGTGAACTTCTTTGGCAGGTAAAAAAGAAAAAAAATAAGTGTCTGGTTTGACTTTCTATTCCTTTATTTTCAGTACTCACTATCCTACCTGTTTTTAGGTTGCATATTCATACACTTATGAACTACGGCCCTATTTGGATCTGCTTTTACAAATCTTACTGATTGAAGACTCCTGGCAGACTCACAGGTAGGTCCTTTTTTTTTTTAATGGACTTGCCTCCAGGTATTAGACATAACTGAAATTAATAGTTACTCTTTTGAGGTGTTTTTTAATGTATGCCTTGTCTTTAAAAAGTGAGCAGGGGGGCTGGGAAGGTGGCTCAGTGGTAGAGCGCTTGCCTTGCATGCCTGAGGCCCTG